GTATACATATATTGCTCTTTGTCCATAAGTCCAATTCCATAATTTCCATCCTTTATATTACATAAAACGATTCTCTTATTTGAGAGGAGTCCTCCCCTCTCTTACATCTTCCAATTTTACCAAACGATTGGACACTTCTACCTTTCATCATACAAACAGCCTCTCACTTTACTGCTACTAAATACCACATTTTCAGACTGGTTAATGTCTATACCTCTCAGCGGAGGGGCCTGGCAGCTTGGATCCAGGTTTTTACGTAACTTACCTCAATGGCCAACATACTGGCCACACAGACCACTAACACCTGTCCCCTTTTGCCTCTTACTGAGAGCGGTCATTCAGAATATTAAATAGGGCCTACTTTACTCCCCTATTACATTTTACAGCAGGACTGTCCCCAGACAGTAAATGCGATACATGTAACCAGAGTGAGGTGGATGTGTTTCACTGTTGATGACACTGTCCTAAAGTATCCCTTTTGTGAAACACCATACACTCCTTTGGCAGAGACGTTTTAAAGTTTGATTTCACACTCACTAAGGAAAGGCCATGTGACAAAAAGAGACTTTAATGTGTCACATGACACAAGATGCAGAGCCTCCCCCCCATGCTGAGATATCTGCCCGGCAGTTACTGTTTGATAATAAATGTTGTTGCTGTTTGTACCAAGATAGAAGCTGGTTGTCTCTTTCCTTGCTGTAACTAACCAAGATCTGCTTTAATGCGAATGCTGGTGGATAAAGGGACTCCAAACCCAGGTCATAACACTTAGTATAGTGATCAGCTGTGCAAATTCTTCGGAATTTAGTCATAGGGATGAATGTCAAAGATCTCTCAAGGCTTTACTGGCTACAGGCCAAAACCTATCCTTACTTATTGGATTAAACAGGATTCCCCCCATTTCTGCAGTTTCCTCTTTGTGTATTAACTGTGTATTTCATAATGATTGGGTGGAGATGACCCACAATAAAGATTTCTGCTAAATGTCATCTCTTATCACACATGTCCATGCAGCG